TCAGCTGTTTAACACGGTACAAGAACATGGCTTCAGGAGCAGCCGTGTTCTTGGTATAACCACTTCCAGCGGATGACGCACAATTACGTGAACCCGCGGGAAGTGGTTAAAAAAAAACCCACATGTGTAATGAAACACACACATATCACATACACATATCACACACACACATAAAAACACACACATAGTTTAATAAAAAAAATCACACACATTCATTAACACACACACAATAAAAACACACACACATTAACAATTAAAATAGTTATTTAAAAAACGTCCCCCTCTCCTGCTTACCTGTTTTGCAGGAAGGGGGGCAGCATCCCTGGGCTTCAGTGGAGAATCGGTGTGCTCTGCACTCTGGCTGATGCAGGCATACTAATCGATCCCTGCCTGTTAGCAGAGGCACCACGAGGGAGCGATCAGTATGATCTGCATCAGCAAGACATGCTGATCATGGTGATTCCCCACTTGACGACCAGGGAATGATTTTCATTCAATATATTGCCTGTTTGGCAATATATTAAATATGTGGGTGCTTGCCAGCTTTAAAGATGGCCACCGCTACACGCGGCAGCCATCTTTAAAAACGAATGTACAGTGGAGAGACCCCCTGGGGACACTGGAGGAGGCATCCCAGGTGAGGGTCTGGAGCGTGCGGGCCCTGGCCTCCTCCGGTGCTGCGGGGGGCCCGGCCACATCCTGGCCTGTCACTTGAACGGCCGATACTCATGTAAGGTGCCCGGGCCGGGCCCTTAAGCCTGGCCGGGCCCCTTACATCAATATCGGCCGTACCCCCCTGACGGCGGCCCTGTCTGTAATTACTTTCTAAAGACTTTGATCCCTTTTTAAAGATAGGCACCACATTGGCCTTGTTCCAATCCATCGGTACCAAGCCAGTCATTAGAGAGTCTCTAAAAATTAGATACAATGGCTTTGAAATTACACAGCTCAATTCTTTGAGGACACGTGGGTGTAAGACGTCTGGTCCATGTGCTTTGTTCACCTTAATTTTGTTTAAAGTGACATTAAACCCTCAGATTTTTTAACATAAACCATTACTGTAATGTGTGCCTTACTGTAATCCATGGTTGTTTCCCTTCTCTTTGCTGCTCTTCCTTTTAAATCCTCATATCTTCTCATGCTGGGGGAGAACTTCCCTTTGCAGCTGAGTGCCTCTTCCTGTAGTGCTGGCTCAGGTTGTGAACCTGCACACAGACACCATGTATCCATTTCAGAGACAAGGCAGTCTGCTGCAAAACAGAAGTTCTGCCCAGCATGAGAAGAGAGAAGGATTTAAAAGGAAGAGCAGCAAAGAGAAGGGAAACAACCATGGATTACAGTAAGGCACACATTACAGTATTGTTTTATGTTAAAAAATCTGAGGGTTTAATGTCACTTTCACTGTTTCTGGACCATATCAATAGTCAGCCATTGTGGTTCAGTAGAGGCTATGGCACTGCTATTCCCATTATGGACTTGAGTTACATCGTGTTCCTTGGTGTGCACAGAGCTGAAGAAAGTATTTCATAGATTTGCCTTCTCTTTGTCCCCAGTTACCAACTCTGAGATATCTTTTAAGGGGCCTACATGCTCAGACCTGATTTTTTTTACTGTTAATATATTTGAAGAATTCTTGGGGGTTAATCTTGCAATCTTTTGCAACCTGTCATTTGTTTTGAATCTTTGCAAGCTTTATTTCCTTTTTACATATTTTGTTAATTCTTTGTAGCTTTCATGACGACAGTGTTCCTTCATTTTTATATTTTTTAAATGCCATTTTCTTCATCTTTATGGCTTTTTTAACATTGAACGTGAGCCACATGGGTTTTACTTTTAGCCTTTTAAACTTATTGCTTACTGGAATATATTTTGCCGTATGGTTACAAACAATTGTTTTTGATGAAAATATTCCCTCCCACTCCAAGTTTTCAAGAGCAGCCCTCAGCATGTGAAAATTTGCTCTCCTGAAGTTAAGTTTTTTATTTTTCCAGTATGTGCATTTTGTTTACAACTTAAGTTTAATGAAATTATATTATGGTCACTGCTACCAAGATGCTCTTTTATATGAATATTTGTAATAAGCTCTGCATTGTTTGAGATTACCAGATCCAGCAGAGCATCATTTCTAGTTGGGGTTTCTACAAACTGTACCATAAAATTGTCATGCAATAAGTTTATAAATGTCCGCCCTTTTATTGTTCCAGCAGTGCTATTATGCCAGTCAATGTCAGGATAGTTAAAATCTCCCATTTATACTACAGTCCCCACCCTTGCAGCCCTTTCTATCTGTGTAAGGAGCTGAGTCTCTATCTCTTCATTAACACTGGGGGGCCTGTAAGAAACTCCAATAACCTTTGCGTTATGTATACCAGTATACAACTCCACCCATAACACCTGAGCACCATCACACTCACCATCAATAAAGTCCTCTTTCACACTCACTTTCAGATCACTTCTCACATAGAGACAAACCACACTTTTCGTTTTACCCTGTCTCTCCGAAAGAGAGCATAGCCAGGAATATTTACAGCCCAATCATGTGAAGAACCAAGCCAAGATTCAGCAATACCAATGATATCATAGTTCTCCTCATCTTTAGCATATAGGTTGTACCCCAATGAAAAGTCAGCCCAGTGCTCTAGAAACCCAAAGCCTTCCCTCTTACACCAGGTCTTCAGCCATGCGTTTAGTTCTCTAAGCTCCTGCTGTCTTTCCTGCGGTGCGCATGGCACAGGCAATAATACAGAGATTACTTTGGAGGTTCTTCCCTTCAGCTTGCAACCTAGTCTTTAAATTGATTTTTTAGGATCCTCCATCTTCCATGTATACGGTCATTGGTCCCAACATGTACCAAGACAGCTGGGTCATGCCCAGCCCCTCCCTGTAATTTATCCACCCGACCCACCACATGCCGAACACTGGTACCAGGGAGACAGCAAACCATCCGGTTGAGGCGATCTGGGTGACAAACTATTCTATCAGTCCTCCGATTATAGAATCCCCTATTACCACAACCTGTCTAGGCCTTCCTGCGTTACCCTCACCACCCGGACTAGATGTGCTATTCAAAAAATCAATCACAAAATCAGGTATTTGTAGTTCCATTGGATTTCATCTGAGGGACTCCTGTATGAGAGAATCCTTTTTAATTGCTATGGTTAGGCTGTTGGTATTTGTCTGTATTGGAACGTTATGATTAAGGATGATCTCTGTTTCTACCTTTTATATGGCTCGGTTAGTGATACTCAACATGCACAAAGTCCTATGATGAAGCGCGTAGAGGAGCGGGTGTACGTTGAGGACACTAAACCCCAGTCTTTACATGGAGAGGGGCAAACTGCCCAAATTTAAAAATCAGGCAGCAATGCCTGTTACATACAAGCGATCCGCCGGCTAGAAAGGTGCTGGTAGGCGTGGCCTCCCCCTGTCCCAGGCTCCGCTGTGAGCCCGGGACCAGCATGGTGGCTCTGTGAAAGGGGATCAGAGGGCGATCGGTACACCATCAGCCTCCGGTCCCCTCTCCGGTGTCAGAATGTGGAAGCGATGTACAGTATATTACATCACTTCCGCATTATTGTGTCACTCCCCAGCTTCAGAAGCTGGAGAGAAGCTGATGAAGCAGATCTCTGCGTCATCAGCTTCTTTGGGGGTCCCTAGGTGACATTAGGGGTCTTGGAGACCCCTGCTGTCTCCATAAAGAGGACCGGTCACATCTCTTTGCTATCACATACTGTGATGTGATATGCGATAATAAAGTTAAGTGGGGAAAAAAAAATAGTAAAAAATATATTAAAGTTGCAAAAAAATGTAAAGTTACATGAAAAAGAATTTTAAAAAATCCCAATTTTTTTTTAAAAAGTCCCCACCCATACATACACGCATGCGTCAGGTGCGCATACCTGCAAAAACCATGATTGCGCCCATTACGCCGCACATGTTACATATAACCACGAACGTCGCAGAGAGAGCAATAATTTTAGGGCCATCAATCACTGATAACACTAAACTGATGAGCGGTAAAAGCTTTTAAAGCGTTGCCTATGGTCAATTTTGGGTATTGTAGTTTTTTTGCGATTTCGCGGGTGCGCGCAATTTTTAAGCATGACATGTTTGGTGTCTATTTACCAGACGTGACCCCATCTTTTATATTTTACCAAAAAATTGGGTCATAATTGTTTCTTAACATAATGTAAAAAAACACTTTTTTCCCCAGAATTTTCAGTAAATTTTCTGAAATATAAAAAAAAATAAAACCCCCAGTGGTGAATAAATACCAAAAGAAAGCTCTATCTGTCCCCAACAAAATGGTATAAAATTCATTTCAGTACAGCGTTACATGACGGAATAAAATGTCAGTCAAAGTACCGCAGCGCTAAATACTGAAAAATGGCCTGGCCAGGGAGGGGGTCTAAACACCTGGTCTTGAAGTGGTTAAAGGACATTCATCATGACACTTTACACTTCATAGATTGTTGTGTATATGATTGATTTGGTTATAAGACATTTATTTATATACACATGCTACTTGTGTACATCAGGGGATTGTACCTTTGCTGAGATTGTATTTTCTTGTAGATATTTATCACTTTATTATATCCCACACTTGTGTAGTGGTTTCTGAGAAAACAGCATCAAAGACACAATTTCTAGATTTGTATCACATTTTCTATAGATCACTCACTCGAGCACAGTGTAATTTGGATTTCATGTCCTTTCTCACACAGAAGAGGGAACTGGGGACAGGGCTCAGACTATAGACTGTCGGGGGTCCCCAGTGAGAAAAGGAGCTTGAGGCCAGCCCACTGATCTTGAGAGAACAGCGGAGAGGGAGGGATGGCCTCAAATTTGTTTAGAAATGCTTCCACGTCATTGCTGGGAGTCAGTTTCTGCAAATATTGGATGGTCCTCACAGTTATCTGGTTGCTAGGGACAACAGCCGCTTGCTCATGTTCCTGAGCCAGGTGCCTCACTGCCTTCTGCAAGGCAGTTATCTGTGTCTGCATGGTTCCTTGCTGAGCTGCAAGCTGGGCTACCAACAGGTGAGTACTCTATTGCTGCTGGGCCAGTGCCTCCTCATGGCGGGTTTTTGCTTGTATAATAGCCAGTGCCAGTTTGATAAGCTCTTCCATTGTTACTTCAGTGGGTTGCAGAGCCTGTGCAGTTTTAACCCATGACATGCAACAGGAATACTGTCCCTTTAAATGTCAAGTTTGCAAATTAAAATGGCTTTTTGTGGCTGTAGCGCTGTTTGCCTGCATTCAAGCACCAGTTGTGATATTTATGGAACTTAGTAAGCTTGTAAGAATCAGTCTCAAAGCAGTTATTTCTTAAAAAAGGACAGTCTTTATTTTTCTAAAGGCTAACAGCCAAGGCAATCCAAGAAAAATAGCTTATCTTCAGCCATATGAATTAAAGTAAAGTTCGCTTATCTTCAGCCCAATATAAAACAGAGTCTCACCGACTTAAGTCTTGCTCACAGGTACAGCACTAGAGTCCCAAAGCTTTTTAGCAACTTACGACAGAACAAACAGATCTCAGCAATGCCCAGATCAGCAGCTCACACCGTTTTCTCTGCACACCTGTGCTACTACAACTACTCCACATGTTCTGTGGTTTCCTGTGTTTTTCTAGCAACGTCCTCCTGCCTGGCAGTTTACACTCTGTTGTCCCTTTGGGGACAACAGAGTTCACACCAAGTGCGGAGCAGATGCAGAGCAGAGCAGTTACAGAACGCATCAAAAATGCATTCAATGTATTCCAATGGTATTTTGGGCTGTAGTTCACACCATTCAGTTCCAGAGCATGTCGAAAAACTGCAGCATGCCCTATTTTTCCTGCTCTGAAACGCACCAAAACGCATGCAAACACATAAGGCATGCAAATGCCCTGGAACGCACTGAAAGCCCATATTAAGCTTTTTAAAAAAAAGTCGGCCTGGAACGCATTAAAAAAAAAAAAAAACCACAACAAAATGTACTGCACTGCATATGCAGAAACTCATGCAGATCTGGTCCGGATTTGGTGTGGACAAGCCCTTAAAAGGAACCAGAATCCAAATAGAGGTAACACATATTCCAGGACCCTAGCATCTGGTACTAAATTATATATA